GTTCGCTCACCTCCCGATCTACTGAGCCGACCTGTGACAGTTTCATTGTCACAGGTCGGCTAGAACTATGAGGCTGAGTGAAAATCACTCCCCTCATAGTTCTCCTTTAACATCACCACACAAAAGACTTCCTTTGTTTTACATATTTATATTTTTATTATTACAACAGAAATTGTGCACATGTAGGAAATCTCTACATCCCTGAGATATCGCCATCAGTAATATTCCATGTTTTTGTTACCTTGGCGGCTGAAGCTTTGGGGATGAGGTTTTTGTAGAGGATGGGCCCGGAGGGATTACTCTTGTTGCTTCCATTAGAGAGGTGAGGTACAGGCGAAGCGAAAGCAGCGGAGAAAGCAGACGGATCCTCCTTTGAGATCTTCTTGATGACCAGCATCTTCAGTGGCTGCTTGGAGCTGGGAGGGTTTTCTGGAGAAAAAAACAAAACACCAACGAGTTAAGAATTGGTACACGGCGTGAGGCGGCTCCCTCCTACAAGACCGGCAGAATCTGGGGACGATTGTATGGTCTCCCATTTAAAACGGGCAAGACAACCAAACTGGGCATTGATACTCTACTCCAGGGGTGGGCTAACCCTGGACCTCCAGCTGTTGTGTAACTACAAATCCCATGAGGCATTGCAAGAGTCTCACAGCCACCAGCCTGACTTCCAGAGACAGATGCATCATGGGATTTGTAGTTCTACCAAAAGCTGGAGGGCCGGAGGTTTCCCACCCCTGGTCTAAGCCATGTGCGGGACGTCTAGCGATGACAAGCACATGGAAAGATTGGAAATTCTCATCTCTTGCACGGATTTTCAAAAATGGAGAATGGAAGACCACAGATCGTCTATCTGGGGGTTCCGGTCTGCTTGTTCTGGGTAACCTGCTTCCCAGGCTCAGGATTCAAAGATGGCTGCGGCAAAAAAACAAAATATGGGACAAATCAAAAACCCAGCGCACATGATATGAAAGCACAAAGTACAAGCAAGGTCTCCGTGTCTGTATTTCATATGACACATGCAACAGCTCAGCACTCTGCAGTATGAAGCAATCTCATGATGCAGTCGTTGCTCACATT